TTTTCGAGATAATCACATTTCCCTCTTAGATATCACGGTGATTATCGTACCCCGTAAACTGAAGATTAGCCAAAAATTCTTATTTATAAGTCTAAAAGTTCTATTATCTAAGTTATTGATTCACAAGCTATTGTATAATTATTTTATTGCCAATAAATTTAATATATTTTATAAAACAAAAAATAATTATATCAAGTTGTTTAAATAAAAAATCTAAAATATCAAAGTTTTTTATAAAAAATTATTTTTTATATATTTCACAAAATTACTTTTTATTATAATATTTTTAAGAATTATTGCAACAATAGTAATAACTTTCAAAACTAGCGTTTTATAATTGATACATTTATTAATGTATTCACACATTATAATAATAAACTGATACAAAAAACTCAATTGGAAAAAATATTTATATACTTTGTTAAATTGTTATCAATCTAGAACTAAAACATAAAGTTCGTACCAGACATAACTTTAATCCTTTAATAATATTGTTAGATATAAATAGACCCTCAACGTGGGACATACGTTCAAAATTCCTTGTAAACTGGTACTAATATAAATAAATTTTTGCCTTGTCTATTTATAGGGATGATATTTCTTGGATTTGACATCCATATTCCTTTCTTTCCATGTGCTTTTCCTCAATTTTATTGGCCTGTTCCCGACATACTTTCCTATAAAAGGTGAAATGAAACATCTTAACAATATTATTCACGATAATTTTTTTAGAAGATTAGTGGTTACACCAATAACTCACCGTTCATTTCTTTCCACGCTTTGACGAATTCATCTGCATCCTTGAAGCTGACAAATCCATACCCTTTACTTTTACCTGTACGCTTATCGCGAACGACCTTAGCCTTTTGTATTGATGAATATCGACTAAATGCTTTGTACAAAACTTCGTCAGTAACTTCATTACCCAGATCACCGCAGAATAAGCGAAAATCATCTAAAAAATAATATAGATACATTCGTCAAATTAAATTTTCAACTTATTATCTGTATGTATTAAAATAATGAAGGTTGGATCATACTCAAGTCCCATTCTAACAGCGTCGGATCTTCCCAAATCTCCCCCCCAGCAGATCTAATAATTGTCTTTTGTTTCTTTTTAGAATTTTGTTGCTTATTAATATTTCCAATTAGCGTATCTGAGACTCCCATTGTTTCGTCTTTTGACGGTCCGTGAGTAACAGAAGTCATTCCCCTTTCCTGTTGATGCGTACTCACTGACTTGCTAGAGGTTGTAGCAGGAGAGGATATAGAAACCGACGGACTTATTATGGACGGTGGAGCCTCTACTACCGTCGCAGTTGATACTGTTGACACAGAGCCTGCGGACGTTGTAGGGTAATAATAGCTATTAGTACTATAAGTGGAGTAGTCATAGCCTTCATACGCGGTGGTATTGGCGTTACTTGAGTATTGATTGCTAGAAGGATACGACGTGTAATCATAATTATAATATGCTTGTGATTGATCAACCGTTGTTGAAGTTAAGGGATCGTATGAGTATGTAACGTGTGAAGGATTTGACCCTGACATGATCCTGGTTTACTTTAGAACCTCTAATAATTTAATAATTATATAACCAGAAAATTTCAAAAAATTTCTCTTATACGAATAAAGATTATCACATAATTAAAAGCCGGAATTTCAAATTTAATGTCAGCCGAAATTATAAATCTTAATTTTACTGA